TAAATAATGAATGAATATATAAATTATAATTAAATAATTTATTTTTATTTTTATTATTCATTTATTTTAAAATAAAATGAATGAGATAGAATATGAAATATTATTTATTATCATTATGAATATATGTTATTTTATTATTATTATTATTGATTTAGAGATATTTTATATAGATTAATATATTAATTCAATATTAATCATTTATATTTGTTATTATTATTTATTTATTATTTTGTTTTCATTATTATTCATGTTATTTATTATTTATTATTTTAATATTATTATTCTTTATATTCATTATCTTATTTTCATTATATGATTATATTATTTATTATTCTGATATATTATTTTATATATTTTTATTCTTTATTATTATAATTATCATTTTGATTATTGAATATATTAATATGTACATAATATACAATACAAATACAAATAAATGAAATATTTCAACATTTAATGAATGATTAGATGATATTAATCAATAAGAAGTATTTATTTGTATCAAAACAATCAATATAAAGAAATCATCAAAAAAATAATAATAAAATAAAATAAGATATGAAAATTAACAACAATAATCATTAATCAATAATTTGATTAATGAAATAATCAAAATATAAAATCAAATTCAACATTATATTCTCTCATTTCTAAATAATTTTAATATAAATTAAAACAAAATGAAGAATAAAGAATGAATAAATATAAAATATAAATAAAATAAATAAGAAGATAAATAAGATAAAATATATAATAAATAATAAATAAGATAAAATAAATAATAAATAATAAAATAAAAGATATAAAATAAAAAAGAAAGATAAGAATAAGAATATTAAAATAAGAATAAAAAGAAATAAAGAATAAAAAGAATTATAAAACAAATATAAAGAATGATACGTCAAACAATAAGATATAAAAGAATAAAAATCATTTAAAAATTGAAATTAACATTAATATTGATATTAAAACATTATATTTAACAATATGATAATTCATTTGATTTATTTATTATATTATATTCAAATATACACAGAGAAATTAATTAATAATAAAAAATGAACAAATTTCACATTAGAAAATAAAGAACATTATGTATCATTTTTATTACTTAATTAAATAATAATTTTAAAACCAATTAATTAAAACTTTCATTTAATTACTTC